CGAGAGACTCAAACGTTAATTTTTGGTTGTTGTCAAGTTACAGTGACAAGGGAGATGCCAAATTGCTGGCAACCTTGGACCCTTGAACAATTTCTCATTTGGACAACACAGAAAATTTATTAAATTTAATTCATAATGGGATTTCCATTATATCTTCCTTAATAAAGAGAAAATCCCATTGCACTTTTTAAGTTAGAAGTGCTTTCTATTGAAAAAGCAAGGTTCAACATTCTTGAACATTTCATAATCTTCAAGATATTTGAATTTGAAAAGAAGGGAATCATTAACGAAGTTCAAGAGCTCTAATGTATCTCAAAGCTTTCAAATTTTATTTATTGCCACGGTAGTGTATCTATTGTATGGGTATTTTCCAGTAGCATAAATATAGATTTCCACTTCAATCCCTTGGTATTGAGAGTAGGATGCAAGATTGGCTAACTTGGGAGGATAAATGTTGGAAAGCATTACGATCATTGATGGTGTACGCCATCAACAAGGGGGATAGATCTTACAGATCTTGTGATTTAAACAACAGAACTTTGTGCATGTTAGAGCAAGCAAACAAAGGGAAGGAGTGAGGGCAAGCAAGAAGTATATAGCCCATCCAGTAGACACCGAAGGCAAACCAAGACCTGCCAACAAATTAGCGACCGGCGAGGAAGGGGTCTTAAAGAGAGGGAGAGCAAAAGGAGCGCACCACTGCCACAGAAAGGGCAAGTATGAAATCCTAGTAGTGCTCTACCATTTTTCCCAAAATTTATTGGAGAGTAGCTCTACTCATATTAACCTCACATGACCATTTGCCCCATCTCGAATTGATTTCCAAATTCCCACATTTTTTTATTTTTAGTAATAAAGAGAATGCCAATATTATTTTATTCTAAATTTAGATCAATACTGATTATACACTGTCAATTGACATGACTTCATCAATACCATGAAAGCAAGCAATATTATCACCACTTAATTCTAAAAATAAATGTGATACAATGATATCTAGTCACCCATAGAAATCACAAAATAATCTCTCTACATGTTGTGTGATACCCTCCTTGCATAGCCATAAGTCACACAACTTTAGAAGGTTGGCGAAGTTTCTGTGACTCTGTCCAAACATGATTCTTAATTAGGAAAGAAAAAACATGCGAACTTTTTTCTTGCACAAATTTTCATTGTGATGGAACCAAAAAGGGTATTAAAAATTTTAATATGAAATGTGTTAAAGGGATGTGTGTACTATTGTTTTACTTTCTTTGATATGTTATGTTTGATGAATTTTGATATTTGGACTTGTAAATATGTTCTTGACTTTTAAAGCACATTTAAGTGCACCATAGTATCATGCTTTATTCTCAAAATTACTTAAACATTCTGTAAAGGTTTTTAGATCTAAATAATTGTTGTGTTAGTTAAAAAATATATATTTTTCTTAAATATTGGTAGGCATACCTAATCTTAATGTCACGCTATTATTGATTTCTATAACTTATCTATGATCTGCTTAACCAAAAAATAAAAAAATTCTAATCTCTTTTTTTTTTTGAAAATTTTAAATGAGTACAACATGAAGAAATTATAAGGAATAGTCAAATAAAAAATAAAATAAAATTATGGATAATATGATGACATAGGTACATAGATTTGACCTATGTTAAGAAAGGTAGAGATAGACCTAAAAATTCTTCGTTATAAAGTATCGGAAATGACCTATTTTATTGGATTTAAATGAGAATTTGACTCTTAACATGAAACAATGAAGAAAAATAATTCATGTTGCCAACTCCACGTAGTGTGATAAAGACTTGATGTTGTTGTAGAAGAAAATTTTCATTTGATAGATAAGAAAATTCCTAACCACTCATTTTTTAGTGCCTTGTAGCTTGGTGAATCTTAGTGAATGATGAAAATTTTCTTCTATATTTTTACCCCTTATCATGAGCAGGATTTGAAACCTGCTTTCCACTTGAGCTTTTGCGCTTGAATTATTTTCTTTCGAATCATTAAACTACTCAAAATCAATGTCATCAACATCCTCAACATTAGGATGGGGCTAAGGGGTAGTTACAATTGGATGATTTGGATCAATGTACTTGCTTCCATATCAGGTGATGATCACCTATTTGGATAGCAATGAATCTGAAGGCTCTGCTTTGATGATGACAATGGAATTGGTTCCAAAGTTGATTCCAAATTTTATGTGCAAAGCTGATCTTTTAGTAGGAGGAATTACATGCATTCATAAATTAAGATAAATTATGATAATTTCTAGGCCCCTTTATTCTTCAATGTAAGAATCAATATCAGGTAATTTTCTCAGTTACAGGTGAGCCTTGAAGTATTTGGAGTCGTGTAAAAAAATTTTACAAGGAGAATAAAAAGTTGTACCTTCATATTCAACATTCTACTAATAATCGTAAGAGGAGGTGACAATCAAAACCTTCTTATCAAGAGGAATAGTAACATGAATATTACCCTGAACCCTAGTCACAGACGGCCTATAAAATCAGGTAGTTGCAACATTCACATGCAAGGATTTACCAAAAATTAGAACCCAAAGAATATAAGGTGGATTGGTTGAAGCAGTGTAAACAAAGCCGTAGAAAAGCAAACCAAATATGAGTAATAGGCATTTTCATATGTGTCAAAGTAACAACACCACTTTAATGTGCACATCAAATAGCTACTCATATAGCAGGATCACTGTGAGAAAAGTCTAGAGTAATTTGTTTGTCAAGATAATATGAGGAGGATGTGACGATAATCAAGAAGTCCGTCATAGAAGTTGTTGGTCAAATGCAAGCTTGAAACAAATCTACATATAATCTAAAGGTTGGGGCGGTTTGAAGAGATCTTGACTACAATAGAGATAGATATTGGAATGACTAGCTCGAAAAATTCAGTTTCAACGAAAATAAGAGCTAGTTTATCATGAAAAATGTGTTGAAGCGGGCCTGAGTTGAAAAAATAAAAGAAAATGGTTGAATGATGGCCACTAAAATATTGAAGTCTATTCTTGTTTTAAAAATAAAAAGAAATTATTGGATGATGGCCATTGAAATCTAAAAGCCTTCATCCCTTTGATAATTTCAGCGAATGATCGAGAAGTATAAGGAAAAGGAGGAGCAACAACCATAGATACTATGAAGGAGGATTTGTAGGGGAAATAGAGGCCATCCAAATAGATGGTGACAAAGGATCAACCTGAGCTAGGGGAACAACTTATGCTAAGCATTGAGGGGAAAATGACTGAGGGTTGGTGTGGATTTAGTTGGGAATGGAGACATTGAGTTTGAATGCCTACAAGCTTGAATCAATACAGACAAGGAAGCAAAGGTTTTAAAGAGAGCGATTTTGAAGGAGGGAATGTGAGGAACATGCGAAGAAGGGGAGCTTAGTTGATGAACAAAATTGGTGACAACACCATCTACGATGAAGGTAATGTGATCGGAGCATATGCTAGGCGTAGGAGACCGATGCTAGAAGGCCTTAACAACCAAGGAAGAACCCCTAAGGGGAATTGCTGGAACGATCAAACTTTTCACAAGGAAGCACTTTAGTGTGGAATGAAAGATGCGAGCATGACTTGCAAATGCGGGAGAGCATAGGCAAGCAACATGGGCCGAGTCCAAGTGTTGTTCGCAAGGGTAGGTGAGCAGCACACGCTAGCACGTGCCATGAGAACACAACCTCGGGTGAGCATAATAAAACAGGGGATGCTTGCGATGGGATGCCAATAGAGAAGGGTAGATTTAAACATTTCTCACTCTTCATAGAAGTCATACTTATGATTGTTGACAAATTAAACTTAAGAGAACCAAACCAGATAAATAGTATATATTTATTTGATATTGGGCTGAACTCAATTGTTTTAGACATAATTTTGAATTAAATTGATTGGAACTAAAGTTGGCTTGAAATCTAATTATTATTATTTGTTATTTTTAATTAAGCTTTCCAGTAGACTAAAATTGCATTGAAAAAGAAAATTTTGAAGCAACGAATCACAAATGTTTAACATGAAGTATCAACCTTGGTCCAAAGAAATATAATCAGGTAGATAAATTTATAATGTAGTAACATAAGGAAAGAATTAATCCAATTTCAATTTAGTTTTTCCATTTATTGCTGGTGTATGCCATCAATTTTAAAGGATAAACCATCAAAAAATAACTAATGTAGTTTAGATATATAATATATGCACGTAATATACATTTGCTCATATGTAATTATTTGCATGCGCATTAGGCTGCCTACATATATTTGGACATTCTCCCACTGAATTTGATTATTTTTTCTTGTCAAGACTTGATAACAAATTATTAACACATATATAGTAAAATCATCACTTTACATTACCTATGACATTTCTCAAATACTTCGATACAGAATTTAAAGGTAATTCTTATTTCGATGTGAATCTAAAAGAACAAAAATAATCTTATTAAAATAATCTATTATTAGTTTTTAAATCTTTTATGAAGAGTCAAATAAAATGTTTAGCTTGATCAGAAGTATTATGAAGATTATTTTTGCTACTTTATATCTTGGCCTTTTAATTGGTATATGATATTATGTAATGCATGGCAATATCAACAGACAATTCTTTCTTCTAACGCACCCAAACAACCCCCCTCCGCTACTCTCCCATTGAACACCCACCCCTTTCTTTCTCTGCTCCGTCTCATTTTGATTTGACAATTTAGATGCTTGATACAATTCATATTATCACGTTTCTTTTGATGCCTCATAAATCATATTACAAAATTAGGATTTGTTTTGATCTAATAACACATTTAATATCATTTGCACCTATGTGAGAACAAGGTATGGTTAACATGCTCTAAATTGATGAAGTTGGAGTAATGCTACTGTTTAGGATTTTCAAGAACCTTTTTCTTCGCTTTTAATAAGTTTAATAAGCCAAAGTGATACAATTTTCATGATGAAATTAAAATTCATGTCTAATTGTGTCTTATTGCACTTAATTTTCACTTGGATAGCCTGAGTGCAGTTCTCGTTCATCAACAAGATTAAGCCACAGGAGAAACTTCCATTATGATGCTAATGGCAAAATTTTTGCTAAACCTACTGATGAAAGTAGTCATGCAGTAAAGATCACGGAACCTGGTAAGTTTCCAAACTGTGCCATTTTAAATTATGTGGAACATTCTAATTTAGTAGGAGATTCTTATTCTCCTGATTGTTAATTACATATCAGTGGATCTTGATAAGTTGAGGAGCAAGTCTGCATCATTTGCTCTAGAAAAGGCTTCAGAAACAATACTCTATGACAATGATGGAAGCAGAAGAATAGAGCATGAAGAAGGCATTGTAGAAACAAATGACTTTTCTAATTTGGTAGATTCGGACAGCTCCGAGAGCTGCCATGTGCTTACTGTTGAAGAAGATTCGAAAACAATAAATTCTGTAGAAGTAAGAGGAACTGACCTTTGCGAAGCTGGAGACTGCGATGCACTAAGTGCACCTAGCGGTCTAGATCAGCAGGCTGAACTGTCATGCGTAATTTGTTGGACAGAATTTTGCTCTTTAAAAGGAGTATTGCCATGTGGACACCGATTCTGTTATTCCTGTATTAAGGAGTGGTCTGATTGTATGGTATGATCACTCTTTCTCTCTCTCAATTTCGTATCACTTTTACCTTTAATGCGTCCATTGCATCTGTGCAAGTATATATATATCCTATTTCTTCTTGGCTTTACCTACCTCCGTTGAAACTGTCAAGGGAGTTATCAACATGCCCTCTTTGCTAGTAAGAATGAAGCATACGTTACTGTTATAACAGATGAGATTAATTTCTTAGGCCTTAAGAGGAAAGTTATCAACATGCCCTCTTTGCAAAGCGAATTTCACAAGCATTACAAAATTTGAGGAGCTGGCTTCTTCCGAGCAAAAGATATTCTCCGAAAGCATTCCCTGCAGCTCATCAAAACAGGACATTTTTTGTCTTCCAGGCAATAGATATGACACCTTCAGAACCTCAGTAAGAATTTGCAGTTTATTTTATCTACTTTTTCTTCTGATATCAAATTTTGATGAACTTTAGTTATCCCGTAGGTCACACTAACTATTTATTGTGTTAATATATTAAGCACTCAGATTCAATTTGTTTTGAATGCCAAAATCGTGAGCCAGAGGATCTTCTCTTGAGTTGTCACATCTGCCAGACTCAGTGGGTGCATTCTTGTTGTTTAGATCCTCCATTGATTCCATGGACCTGCATTCACTGTAGGGATCTTCGGATGCTTTATCAACGTTTCCGTTAGTTGTTTCATGGATGCTTGCTCAAGTTGAGGTAAGTAAAAGGTTTTATTTATTTGAAGCTTCCATGATTATGACATTCCAGTTATATGATTATAACATGATTATGACATTCCAGTTATATGATTAGTTATAATTATTTGTTCTTATTACTCTTGGGGACTCCGTGAATATGGGTGCAGAAGAAAGGTAAGTTGTATGTGATCTTTTTTTTTAAATTATTATTTTTAAATTTATATGGCTGCAGATAAAGTAATCAGTCCCGAGGCAACAATCCGGGAAACTTGGGTTAGGAATTTGTCTTGGGATATACCCTAAAGCACAAGTTCTAAAATATTCCTCGAGGCATCATAAGAGAAGTCTCTTAGGATCTTAGACTTAGGTTTATTTTTTAAAAAAAAGTTCTAGTGTATTCTCATAGTTAGAATTAGGGAAGGCGTGGTAATAAACTATTCTTGAGGTTATACCTAATCACAATGCTTGGATAAATTCTTTGGCACAACCAGGAAAACCTGGATAAGAAACTTGATGAGGACATCAGATTTCGTCACGTGTACCATCGCCGGAGATGCAGATCGACGACTACGATCCAGAGCCTATATTTCTGATTTATTTGCATTTTATTTATGCTTGTATTTCTTTTCCCAGTTTGCCTCTGTGGGCATTGAGTCACTTATGTAGCCCTGAGGGCATTTGTGTCATTTCAGTTTTATTTTATTTTGGCCCACTTATAAGAGGCCTCATGTCATGTAAGAAGGAATTAGTTGATGATTTATTGAATGAATTTCTCTTTGATCTCTTCGTGAGTTCGTGAACCTTCCAAGCTCTCTTTGTGAGTTCTTGAGGAGGAGACTCTTGTAGATCTCTTTGTGAGTTCTATCGGAGGTGTGGTACAAGGTTAGTAGATCCAACAATTTCTACTTCTTCCGGAACCCAATTCTCTTCCCCCCACCTAGCCGAACTCTTTCCCCTCCCCAAAATTCCCCTTGTCGCTGTCCCTACTGGACCATCCAGACCGCCGGCCCCTTGGCAGTCACCTCCCGCCGGCCTCCCTCCCCGCCCCTAGCCCCAGCTCCTTGTTTTAGCCACAGGCCCCCCCTCTTAGATTTTCAAATTTGAAATTCAAAATTGTTTCATGAGGCCTTGAATGTTTTCCTAAAATAACTCATTGATTTAAGGCTTCCATATTAATTGGATTTCAATTTGAATGTTAAATTCAAATTATTTCTAATTGCTAGCCCCGTTATTTGGAAACTTTCCTTCTTACAAATATAAAATTTACTTCAGATTTTATTAAATCTTTGATTAGTAATATGGGCCCCACCCTACTTATGATTACTAATCTCTTCCCCCTCTCTATGTGGCCGGCCCCTCATTGGGTATAACCTCTCTCATATTTTATTAATTGCTCCCCAATCAATCCCCTTTATTCCTCTTAAACCGCCGGCCCCATTAAGGGATTAATTTGAATTCTCAAATTAATTTCCCTCCCATCTCATCTAATTGGAATTCAAATTCAGATTTCTAGTTAGTGCTCTCAATTCTTCACCTAGCCCAACCGTCCCCTCCCCTCTTCCTCACCACCCAAGCCCCTTGCCCCTCTCGTCCCCTTGGCTACACCTCTCCTAGGTGACATTTTTTTTCCACCTTTACACCACCTCGACGCCACGATCTCCCATGATTATGCATGGCGGATCCCGAAGTTGATCACGGATTCATGTTCGACGTCTACGGAGACATCCACATCGTTCGATCACCATTCTTCGACGTCGGGTTTGGTTTTGACGACACAGTTGAAGATTACTTGAACTGAATCCTCCTCACCCTCGTGGACATCATCGACGATCAGTTCTCGGACTACGAGTGGACCATCCACGGCCATCCACCCGCTTCTCCAACTCCCGCTTCTTCCCCGACGACGAGTCCTCTCGACATCACTTGTATACTAGTGGTATATCTAAGTTTGCTAACGATCCTCTTCCGCTAACCTCCACTTTTAAGAGTTGATTAAAAGGATCTCAAGGTGAAGGATCTATATTTTAAACGTGAGGCTTTGTTTGTCATGGCTATTTGCATTATTTAGATTTCTATTGGTTATTCTTTTTGCAAAGTTCTTGTAATCTCCAAGTGTAATCGAATGCTATGGCTTAATTTCTCATGACATCTTCTTGAACTTCTACTTGAGTACGCTAGACTTTATTGCTAGTATGCAAATTTAACAACTTTTATTAATCTCTTGATTTGCAATTCTTGTATTCAATTGGTATCACATCAAAACTGGTCGTAAGGTAATTCCTTAAGCAACAAGTATAAAATGAACTCTTAGATATAAACAGAGAAGTCTGGCAAGAAACTAGCCTTGGGTTAATACCTTAAGAGAAAGCTCTATGATGTTTTCTTAGACATAATTAGTGAAATATTGGTTAAGAAACTAGCCTTAAGGTAATCATCAAGCGCATTTCCTAGGATAATATCCTAGGCACAACCATAATTAATTGGAAAAACTTTACTGTTAAATCATATTAAATGAGATGACTCCAAACAGGGCTCATCATCTAGACTAACATATGCTATGTATTTCATCAATACGGCCCAAATGTTATGGTTCCTTTATTAACATCATTTTGGGAACACACACTAGATTCATGTGTGTCATACTTAGTTTAATTACCTTCACTAGGTCTATCTAGGATATGTCGTTTTGATCCTATCATATATTTGATTCATTGCTTTTGGTATTAAATACACCCTATAAGGACCTTACACTTATTCTCACTTAAGTTAGAGACAATCTAATATGCCTCATGGATTATCCACTTAGGTATTAAATATTCCTCATTGGGTTAGTTCTAAAGTAAATCTCAATTTACCGAGTCTTTAGAATACGCACAAACTATTTAGCCATTCTTTCCCGGCTTATTTACTATGGTATCAAACACACTTATTAGGCTTGAGCTTAGGGTATTCTATTCTTTCCTAGCATTTTTACTGTGGTATCAACCACACTTATTAGGCCTGCGCTTAGGGCATTCTATTGACATTCTTACTTAGATCTAATCTTATGCTCTACATCTAGTGCATGAGTTACCATATCCTATTTGTGACGTAAGCCTTTCTTTGATTTAGGTCAATGACCTTATTATTTTTCATTGTCTTTACTATGTTATCTAGCTCTTTTGATCAAGTCAATGACCTGATCAATACGCTCTCCTTGCTCAGTCAATTTAATGTAGCTTAACACATAATGTGCCCTACTAGGTTTGACTCAGCTCTCCTCTTTTGATTACATCAATGATCTTACTAGGCCATTTATAACACTTTGACCCTAACAAATACACATTGAATGCACATGTAGTCATGCTGACCTTCATCTATATTAAGAGACCTAGGCTAGGTGATGTCCAGCCAGATGAGATTGAATCAACCTAAAATCCAAATCTACTATGCGGTAAATAGAGCATACTTTGGCTAGCCTCATGATAAACAAAATAGGCTCACGAACTTTTAACCTTGACGGTAAACTTAATTTTGACTGAATTAGTTAACCTAGATCTAATGGGTTGCATCAAGTTAATGTAGGATTTTTAGTTAAACTAGTTCAACTAACCAAAGCCTTAGCATTGAGCTAACCCTAAGCTAAACTAGCTAGACTTGAGTCACGTTAGGTAGTGTAGGACCCCTCCACATCACCTTAAACCTTCGATCTTAAGGGACCCAACTAGGTCCACTAGCAAAGTCTAGGTCTAATATATTAAGTTTGGTCAAAGCTAATGATTTAGGCGTAATCCAATGGACTTTGCATCTTAGCTAGACCATTTTAATACTTAGAAACCCTAGACCTTCGATAACTACAGAAGCCCCTAAAACCCAACTAAGTCAAATTATTTGGCCTTGCTCAAGCCTAGTTTAAACTCTAGTCAAAGTTCCTATTGGATGAGTACTTATCTTTTTTAATTGATAGTTGCAAACTATATCTTCATATTGTTTTTCCATAAATTTTAAAATTCTTAAGTACTGTCTATGCACTAATTTCTGTTTAATGATTATTAGGTGGATTAGCAAAATTTGAACTTAAATCAACATTTTGGAGCACGTATTGCTTTCGAAAGGTGAGTATTTTGGTGGCTGATTGCATTCTATATGGGGAGCAATGGTGTGTTTTTTACTTTTTTTGAAAGGTTAGCACCACGACACCTACATGGTGCTAGTACAACGGTCCATTCTTCTTAATAGAAAACTAGGCGTTGTGGCATCGTCTCTAGCACTTCATTATAATTCTCTATCTTCTCTATTTTGTGAGTTGAATAGTAGGCACTATAGTGCTTATTTTGGTTCTACATTGCCCAAATCATTATCTTTCTTAGCTTATTTTCATATAGATCAGCTACACCATGGTGCTAGTTTGGGTGTTTGATGGACCGGCGGCTGAGCATGTGGGCTCCACTAGCATGGGTGGCAAGCAAGAAGGGAAAGGGACTGAAAGGGGAATAATTCCACATTTAATTACTTACCATAGAAAATTAATATTGGGAGGGAATTAGGTAAGTTTATTTAGGGAAAATGGGGCTGATTTAGATTCAGATTTGAGAGAAAATCAGGAAAGATTTATTTAGGGAAAGAGGGCTAATTTGAATTCAGATTTCGGAGGGAATTAGGAAGGTTTTATTTAAGGAAAGAGAGCTGATTTGAATTCATATTTGGGAGGGAAATAGGAAGGTTTATTTAAGGGTAATTAGGTTGTTTTATTTTCTTTCATGATTGAGTGTTTTGCTGTAGTATTCTTTGGAGTTATTCCTAGCGGCGCCTAGGGTTTGTTAAGAGCCGATCTGCCTTTCTACCTCTCGAATAGTATATCTACTTGTTTATTGGTTTGTTGTGCTGAAATAAGAAGTTTTGCTGCTGATTTCTGCTGAGTATTCTCTTTGTTATTGCTGTTTTTGCTGTGAGGTGGTCAGTTTCCTAAAAGTTTCTTGGAGTCTAAATCACAAATTTCATGAAAACAAGGGAGTAGGTAGAGCTATGTGGTAGCTTAAACATGGTGCTAAGTTGCTTGGATGCAAGGCTGTCCAAATTAGTTGTTCATTTCAACGGATTCAGAGGCTTTTGAATTTAAGATCTCTATGGTTTATTTAAGGATAAAAAAAATTTAGTGTTTTGAATGATTTGAAGTTTTTTTTTCCTCTTCTTAAAATAATTTTGGAGATTTTTTTAAGAAAATTTTATTTGATGTGATTACAATAATTGATTTTGGTCAATTACCTAAATTTATATATTTTTTTCAATAAAAACAAAACGTTTGGATGAAATTTGATCCTTTCACTGTTAATTTAATTTTGGTGGTTAGTAGTAATCAATATCTATGGGATGATATCTTTTATGATAGCTTATACTTCTATGTAATCATTTTCCGTAACAAGTTTCTAGCACAATTTCTAATGATTGATTTTAAATATAGTAATATTGATACCAATTAATTTTAGCTTTAATTTGAACATCGAGGTTTTGTTTGGGACGGCTTTCTTTCTGCTTCTTAAAGCAGCTTGTTAATGAAAAAAAAATATTTTTTTATATTAAAAAATTATTTTAAGAAGCCGGAAGAAAGTTTTCTTAAACAAAACCTGAGTTATACTTACCATTTTCTTATATTCTGTTTTTCAGTTGTTCTTCTATAACCTAGTTATCCTAATTTACTTCCCTTCCTCTTGACTCTAGATTCAAGGATTGAAACAACAGCCAAAGAAACTCCAGGGAACAAAGAGGAGCTTTTGCCACACTGGAGATGCCGTTAAGGTTGGTTTCGGCTAGTGAGATTATGCATATTGCCAACTATTATCGGAATTCCTTGCGCTATATTCAGTAAGTGTGAAATCAAGCCAACTTATTTACAAATGATTTAAAAATTTTAGCTTGGCGGCTTCCCTATTGATGATCCAAATTATTTTATCTCAATTGGTTTTTGAGATTTAGGATACATAATGCAATTCACATATTTTCCTATTATATTTTCATGATAGAACAAAGAGTTGGCTTAACTCTTCACCCAATGACTGCTATAAACTTTTCCTGGAGGAGATGGATAATTACTAATAGGAGGAACATTTATGGATGATTAAGTAACCAGGACATTAATGGATGATTCATTAGGAGGGACATTTATAAGCAAGATGAATAAATTAAAAGAGATTATATATTGATCAAATGTTTTATAATATTTATCTAAATAATAATGATAAATTTAAACTCTTTTATTATATCAGTGAGCATTACTAATTAATATTAAGTACTGCATGAAAGACATTGAATGAATTGTTGTGCACAGTGGTACCATGCACTCATGCTTTCATCATTGGAGATCTTTACTTCGCGAGAAATTATTCTGTGCGGACACCAGATGGTTTATAGTCCAGAGACGAATCAAGTGCCGTCACATCATCCAGTACATAGTAGTATCTAGCTCGGTATCGAATAGGTGATGCGGCGTATTTTTATTGGGTTCTGGACGGCGTTTGATGTCTACACAGAATAATTCATCCTACTTCACAATCCTTCCTCATGCTTGGCAAATAATGCACATAAAAGTAAGGTCAACATGTGTGAATAATGCCAGCTTACTTTCCAAGTTGATAATCTCATTGAATATGTAATAGATTATGGTTTCATTTAGGATGATTTTTTTACTGTCTTTTAGTTAAAAAAAATTTAATTTTTGTACAAGGAAAACACTTTAAGGAGAAGTAAAAAAATCGTCCCAAATGAAGTACATATCTGAATTATCATAACACACCAAATCTAAGGATTGAAGCAAAGGATTATATCTGAAACACGTTAATAAGCTCGCATATAATTATAAATGTAAATTTTATTCTTGATCTAGCTTGCATGAAATAATGCATCTGTCATGGCAAAGGCCTCGGAATAGAGTTGGAGTCGCATTCAAATTTTAGAATGTGCTATCTTGTTTAGTTAATAAATGACGAGGTTAAGCCTTTCCTATTACCTCAAAATTTTTTGGATAAATCATAACACTTCAATCATGAGAAAAATCTATAGATGCAAAGTTTAAGATCGCACAATTAAGAATTGATGCTTTTTTTCGTTCATGAGATGAGGCGTAAGTACATCTCAAGGCATTTTGGGCTTAAGCCTAAAAAATTTTAAAAAAATATTTTAAGAAAATAAATATTAAAAGTAAATTTTTTATATAATACATATATAATATGCTAAAGGATAACATATTGGCATACATATAAAATCAAAAATTGTACAAGATGCAAAGTAGCAAGTGATAAATTACATAAAATTAAATTAAAATATAAATATTACAAGAGCAAAACAATAAAAAATATATAGAAATTACATAAAAACATCAAGTTTAATTTCATATTCCTTATTTCAAAGTTTCTTACTCATTCATATTTAACTTAAAAAAAAAAAGTTGAAATAATTAATAATTCAGAAATCATCTATATTATTATCATAGAGGGGATTTTTATTTGGGTCATCATTATAACAAATTGACCTCTCCCCTATCATATCCTGTGGAGTTCAATATCTCTCAATATATTTTTTCATCATTTATTTCAATTATTTTTGTCTTTCATAAATATTTTTCATCAACATAAAAATAAGAATAATATTCTAAAATTTTTAAAGGAGATGATGATGTGCTACTTCTAAATAATCCTCGATGATATCCACGACATTAATTGCGAGCCTAAATGCGAAACTCATATTTCACCATTTTAAATAATGATCAATGACTCATCAAATGCCCAAAATCTCCATCATGCCTGTATATATCCCTAAGGTCCCATGGTCAGCCGACCATCCATCAATATAATAATGGCACAAGGAAGAGAAAAAAATCCTCGCACTAAGTCAAAATACATAAACCACCATCTCTATACAAGAAGATGTGATATTAGTACACCATATTTGCACATAATGCATTCCTTCTAACAAGAAGATGTGATATTAGTACAAATTCAATCCATTCTCCCTACACCATCAAGCAACGGAAAAAATATTCTGTGCGGACACCGGATGATGTTCGGAGATCAATCAGTACGCTCCACATCATTTTTTTATTCGGTGTCAGAGCTCGATATCACTGTGTACTGGGTGATGTGACGCATTCTAATTGATCTCCGTACCATCAAATGTCCACACAAAATAATTTCTCGTAGCAACGAGGACATAGTATGATCAGTAAAAGTTCATTTAAGATATTACAACTTTTTATAAAAAACAATTATAAAATTATTATAGGGATAACATTCTTAAAAGCTAATGTAAAAAATAACTTACTAGCATCAAAATTTCTTTAAGGTAGTGAAAAAATAATAGTCAAACAGAAACTTTGATTGTGATTTAAAAAAAAAAGTAAGAAAAATATTTCAAAGGAAGCTTAAATATTGCCATATAATATTATGAAATAAAATAAAAAATAAAAAAGTGTAAATGAAAATTAACCAATTCTGTATAATTTTTAGTTATAGCAAAAATCAATCAAAATTTTCAGAGTCATCCTACATTTAACTCATCAAAAGTAGATTCATTACTTTAGGAAAGTGCAGGCAGAGAACAAGAAGACGTAAGAGACCAATGAGGTGAGTAGTTCAAGGCTCCAAGTTTGCTGCAGTAGAACTGATGGAAGCATCGGAACCACAGTAGAACCGACAATCCATCCAATAGCGAGAGCTGCGAAACTGACACAGAGCAATAATGGTAGATGATTAGCTTCTGATAGTTCAACATATTCCCTAAATTTAATTCATCACTTACCCAGTTATAGCAGCTCTTGGAACATTATTCATTTTATCATTCAGAAAATAGATGCAAGATCCTAATGACAATGCAACCTGCAGAGAGGAGGATAAAACAAAAAAAATCTATGAAGCTATGCATATGCTATCATTTCCATCTATTAAGAAATTTTTTCTTCAATTAATTGATTCAAGCCTAATTTGGGACAGCTTTCTTCCTGCTTCTTAAAATTTTTATTTAAGAAGCAATAAAAAAACTGTCCCAAACGAAGCCTCAATCTTCCAACAGCAATACTAGAATGCATGGTGATACAAAATATAGGAAAACCTACATAATATATTTGTTTTCTTAGCAATATTTAGTTTGTCAAAGCTTTTTCAGACAGGAAATTAATGAAAGAATAATTAAAATCCTGCACAGTGCATATGATGTAAAATAGAAAGATCGAAATCTTACTTGGAAAGCAGGTCCAGTCTCAGCAGAATTTAAAATACTCCAACCCCCCATAAAAGCAAATAGGAAAAGCCTTCTAAGGATGGTGTCAACAGGAGGAACTTCAACATAAGCAAGTAACCTTTGCACCCAAGGAGGTGATTCCTCAACTTGCTTCTTCAGCCTGCTTTTAAGATTGATTTTTGTTTTCTTACGCAGCCTGAAACTTGCCATTAATAGCTTTTCAAAAGCACCTTCAATGGACTCGACACTTCCCTCATGACCAGCATATTGTTCCAAAAGGAAATTTCGTGCTGCTAAAATTTCTTCTTCAGAGGCATCCCGAGTCAAACCAAGCCGCTTATAAGGATCCCACACATGCATTCGAGGGAATTTCAGAATATTCTCTGTGAAATGATATGCAAAAGTTTAATGCACAGTGGAAAAAAAAAATTGCATGACCAACTGAACAACCGTATCCGATCTTATTTTTAGCGCGAAATAAAGCTTTACCATACAAGATATCAAAAACTGGAAGTTAGTCCCACAGAGTACCAAGTCTAAAAAATGGAGCAACAATCATATGCCTTAGTCTTATAAAAAGCGCATTTCATACATATTTCCGGCTCCTTTCTCACTCTATCATTTATCCCTTCTTTCTATCATACAACAGAACCTACAATGAGTTGAGTATGGGTGAAAAAGGACAAGATTGGTCCCTTCCCCATTGACAGTCTCCCTACCTTCAGTTTTCTCTGTTAGCCCAAATGGATTGAGATACTCATCAATCACATCTTAATTGTGTTACAATAAAAGAACAGTAAAACGCAGAAAATAGCATTTAAAGGGTTAACTAGACAATTCCATGACGCCAAAAACTTCAGGTGTTAATAAGGGAGAAGAGTTTAGGCAATATGAGGACGTCTACAACTCTCAGACTCAGTATATGAGGGAGAGATGGGAGCAGCCATCAAAGCTAGTTTCATTCATGTTTGAATGCCCTAAGTCCCCCTAAGGAGGGGTATCTATAATAATAGAAGACCTATAGAAACCAACTAAACAATCTAATAAACCTAATAACCTATAAACTCGCAAGGCCCACAAATGACTCACAAAATACCCTTTAACATTTATTCGTATCATTATCCAACCATCCACAACGACCTTGCCCTCATGGTCGAGCAAACACACATAAAAAAAAAAGAAATTAGTGGAGATCTGAGCTAGCAAAGCGAAGGACCCGAGCAAAGGATGGAATGCATGAAAGCATGGAAGTGGAGATGAAATGTGGTTTTTTTTTATAGGACTGTGGAAACCAAAGCCTTACAACCATATACAAGGCTCTTTTGGTCAAGGTTACCGGGATCTGGGCAGATTTGGATGGCATTGTGTGGAGCAAGATCTAGTTGTGGTCAAGGTGAAGGCAAATTTCACAAGTTGGTGGTTGGGACGTCGTAGATGTGTGAGATGGAGCTCATCAGAGGTAGCACCAAGCAAAAGAAGCGCGATCTTTAGAGATCAGAGTTCTTGCTTGTGGATGACATGTTTTATGATTACATGCTGAAGATAATTAGTGAGACTCAAAAGGAGTCCATATGAGTCAAGGCAATATTCAAGTGAAGGACAAGTGATTTAAAAGATAGTGGCAAAACATTTAGGATGGTGGAAAAGTTTGAGAGACATAATTATGAAAGAGATGATATAGACAACAAAATGGATTTGGAGAAAAAAAGTAGCTGAAGAATCTTAAGTTATGAAAGATGGTTTTTGATAATTTGACATAGTGAAAAGTAAATGCACCAAGATCTTCTATCATCTATCAAAAGACTCGAGATGTTTTAGTAGTTCTAAAATCAATTGTAGCATATGAGTAAACTTTTAGTACACGGCGTCGTGTGCTTGATACAGTTAGATGTACTTTGTCTCTAAAGATTGAGCAAGCTCTTATATGCGTTCAAGATTGGATGCAGGCAAAAATGACAACAGATCTAGTCAATGTTGAGGAGGATATTCTTAATGTTGATAAATTTGATGAAGGTATTATGTATAATTATATAACTTGCATTGGCTTTACAAAATAAGCTATCACTTAAATTAAATTAAAAACTATCATTTGTTAATATTTTTCTAAATTTGTCAAAGGCTGCAAGGGAATCGATATCTTGGTAAAGTTTTTCAAGCTTCAAGATATGCTTCTATGGATCGGGTCATGCATAGGTAATATTACTAATCTTACCTTTTATGTCGCACCAAACTTCAATGTTAATGCTTATTGTTTTATTTTTTCAGGTTGATGGCAAGTTCTAAACTTGCATATCCAATACAAGTAAACAAATGTTGTCGAAATGCTTTCAACTTGGACTGGACTCATATATATCAATTTGTGGATGATGTTTTTTGTTATAAAAATATCTACCTATTTTTTATCTGCCTTTTGAACTCATTGTAATGCCAAATTACTTTGTCTTAAAAATATCTACATATTTTGTAGCTATATTTTGCGCTAATTTTTTTGTCAAAATTACCAAGATTTCCATTTTCAATTATTTAACTCCAAAGGTAATGCCTTTGACTTGCATTCAAGTATTCAAATAAACATATAGCCTCTTTTAACTTGCATCCTCTACAAAGGCCTTGAATTAGTATATTTTATGTATAAAAAATAAGAAACACACCTCTTCATAAGTAGCCTGCAACTCTCAAAGACAACTGCTCTTCTACAAAGCACATGTAAAAGCTTATTAAACCGAACTATGTTAAGACAAAAATCTCTCCTAAGCATTTCATCGAACAACTTGCATGCCTCATATTGATGGCTTTCTTCATAAAAGCCTATTCATGTTCTTTCCGCAGGTGGGAACTGTGGGCTTTCAGCATTAATTGCATTAAGCACTTTCGAGGCATCTTTCTGGTAAGTAACCAATTGATTTTAACTACATTTTCATAAGTATATGATTTTAACTATGCTTTTTTAATCAAAATTTTTAAAAAACCAATTGCTTTTGTAAATTGCAATAATATGATTTTACTTGTAAATGCTAATAAGTATTAAGCAATAAAAGCCACAAAATAAAGTATGCAATGGAACTTCAATTTATCCAAAATTGAACCAAAACAACCGAATCAAATTGTTATTTGGTTTGGTTCGGTTCAGTACAATTGTGCACTTCAATAAATACACCCAAGCATCAATTAAAAAAACAAAGTAACAAAAAGCCATATGATAGGAACATTGAAATTGGACCTCAACCAAGTCAAACAAAGCACTACTATTAAAAGATGTTTATAGAATAAAAAAGACATGGTAGTGTTTGCAATACTCACAAATATGAAAGGAAGATGAGTGAATCCTGAAATGAAGTGAGAAGTATGACCAATACAATAATACAAGTATACAACTAATAAGAGAAAATAGTGGAGAGGGGAGTCGATGTAGCATCAAAGACATAGTAAAAGCCTCCAACTTCAACGCCTTCACCAATCATCTTCTTTGTGGAAAGGAGTAGAAAGCTCAATGACCTAAAGAATTTTCATGATCAAAAGATAGAGCAATAAGCTCAACAAACTGAAGAATGTGTGCGAGAGACATGAAGATATTGTGAACTTATCAATAGTCAGCAATTATTGAAGTTGGCATCAAGAAATAATTGTGTTGAATATGGATACTAAATTAGTAATGCTCACTAAAAGAGTTTTAATTAGTAATGCTCACTTTTAGTCAGCAATTATTGAAGTTGAATATGGATACTAAAAAGAAATTTGGCATCAAGAAATTTCTCATTTTATTTCTACCAAATCATGGGAATAATTGTGAAGGAATGAAATTGAAGTTCATCCCAATTGTCTTTCAAGGTACTATGTCAAAGAGAGAGTGTATATCCAGGGGACGTTATTATTTTAAACACATGCAAGACAAAAAAAAATCACACATCCCTTTGGAATTTTTTTGAAATATCTAAGCATCAAATGAGAATTGGATAGTCTAAGGTCTACCACTTTGTATATTTAGTAATATTTGGTAGTTCATGAACTGGAGAATCCATATGATGAAATTTCTTATGAAAGCCAATAAGGAAATGAAAAATATAAGACCACAAAAGAAGTTGGTACCATTGAGTTTTATATTAGTACCAATATTGGAGGAGGGTTTCATTTGGAGAAAGAGGAAGAGAAAGCCATAAAAAAACAACAACAAAAAGTGCTGATAATGATCAATTAATCAAGCATAAACAAAAAGCTATACTTAGATAAAGTTGGAAAGAAGTAACTACCATATGAGATCGTTTAAAGCACAAATATTTGCCAAGATGATGCATGCAAGAAGACTGTAAGAGAAAGGTTTGTGGTAGGCAAAAGATGTTGCGTGACACTAGGAAGGAGGGCAAAAAGCTCCATCCCCAATGAGCCAAATTCTATAACTATCCACGTTATAACTGAATCTTAGAAATTGGTTTTTTCTATTTTCTCTAGTCCTTCATTTTCCTCCCAATAAAAGTATTTTTTGAAGTCTTATTTCCATTATGTAGTTAGGTTGCTATTTCTTCTCAAAGAATTCTTAAGTGCAAGCCTCATCCTCAAACTCCGCATAAAAACCTCAACACTAACTTCTTCCAGGTTCAGAAGACGAAGGAAGAAAAAACTCCATCGAAAGCTTCAACTCCCTGACTTATTTTACATGCAAATCACATTATAATGCATTCTGGACAACTTTTCATAGCTTTGCTTTACAAACCACTACCACACTTCTACTCGGCTACAACTTGGTGTTTTTCAAAAATTTCCATGGTAAGAACTTTTTCAGAAACAAATATGCTAGAATGTAATATTTGTAAGAAAAAGTTGTCTAACTTAATTTGAATGGAAAGAGCCGATAATACCCACGACAGCTTTTAAAAACTTTCCTTTTTCACAAGAATTTCACAACTAATGTTACAAATAGTTGCAACTCCCCCAAACAAATCCTTAGTCTATCATCTACCTTGATTTCAATAGGTAATACTCCCATGTTGATTAATGAAGCATTTAACACTTTAATACCTATATTTTCACTCAACATTCTTCAAACTCTCACTTCTGCAAGAAAATTAAAGGTAAAATATTACAAAAGGCATTAAAAAGTTACATTCATTAACAATGTTTAAAATTGCGTATTCGGGTTTTGAGGCGTTTTTCATTCATGAGGCGAGGCGTAAGCCTCAAAATCAAAAGATTGCGTAAACATAAAACGATAAATTTTTTATATACTAATGAGTGAATAATATAAAACATAAAAAAATATAAGATATGAAGTGAAATCAAAATATCCCAATAATAAGACAACATGAAATATAGTTCAACTCAAAATTCTATCTTTCCCGAATCCTAGTATTCTTTTCATTAACATATAATTCTAATTTCCAAAAATAAATAGCAATGACATATCACATAAGAACTCATAAGTCATCAGCATTGTCATCACTAAGGGGTTATTCATTTGAATCATCATTATGATGAACTGCTCTCTCCCCTTCCTCCTCTCATATAGAGTTCAATATCGGGCATTTACTTCAAGATTTATGTAAGTTTTAATATATATAGCATGAGGCGTAAGCCTCATGCCAGTGAGGCGAGGCGGGCCTCAACCAAGTTGAGGCGCAAGCATCGAGGCGTAAGCATCGAGGCATTTTTTACTGGAATTGCGCAAAGGCGGGCCTCAAGAAGAGCCTCATATTGCGCAATTTTAAACCATGTTCATTAACAAGCAAATTTATTCTCCTTGGTCAAAAGTATAAACAACAGGGACCTGAAACATTAGCCTACAGGAAACAACGGTACTTGCGATGTAAAAGAGAGAACTTTTTGAAGGCGCAGAATTTTTATCCCAAATCTAGATGTTGAAATATAGCAATAAAATCTTAAAGTTGACAAGACAAGCATGCCTTATGCACTCAATCTATGAGGCCATTAAAACCTTGTTAGTATATAATTAGGACTATATTCAGTCCTACAATCTGCAACTTTCAAATAAACAGCCCGCCGCCCAACCAGCATAACATAAGCATCAGAAAAACCACCACAGCATACCAAAAAGAAAGAAAGAAAAAAAAAGAAAAAAAGAGCACCAGGTGGCAGGTTGATTAAACAAATTCAACTCTTTCAGGATTCAACATAGTTTATCACATTGCATAACAAAAAGCTAACCATAGTTATAGCTTCCACCGAGCGCAGCGTCCATAGCGCACCTAGGGCTTCTTGTCCCCAACCTGCATGCGCTTCTAGCGTCCTTGTGCTTGCTCCTAAAAAAAAGTAAATGTAAACAAAAATCAATAAACTAGAACGGAAGAGAGTCTTTAAATAACAGAAAAAGAAAATTCGTCTAAAGTGGCTCACGGTTTGGGGCGGAGAAGAGAAGGAGACGATAAATTTGCAGGGTTTGTAAGGAAAAGACGTTCCATGCTAGAATAATTCAAAGAACAGAAACGAAATCACCACTTTCCTCAGGCAGCCTCCAGAAGAGGAGACCTTCGCTCTTCGCCAAACGTGGAGCGTGAGGCAGAGGAGATGAAGATTAGAGGAGCTCATTATAAAGAAAGCTCCGCAGTACCAGCCAGCCCCGCAGAAGTCAGGATTGGGCTGGAACTGGGCCCTACTTCCCGACCCGACTAGACCCAGAGTTGGGCTTATTAAAGCCCAAGATCCACTCGATATCGCAGGATCAGTAAGGCTTTAAAATGCCTGTGAGCTGGACTTGAGGGTGACACTTCAAATATATATATACAAACAATATTTATATAAATGTATAAGTGTATTTGTGTTTTAGACTAAAAAATTATTTTATAAGATTAAAAATATTTATAAAAATAAAAGGTTTTTTTTGCTTGAATTAAATTTTAATAGAATGTAATAAGAGATATATAGTATGAGGCCAAATGATTGAGTCAAATTATAATAAAACTTGGTTGTGCTCAATACCTTATCAATAGCCGAAATCATAGGTGGTGTTATTTCACATACTCACAATATGCAAAAATATTTTTATTTTAATAATTGTAATTATATTTTGTTATGTTGTCAACTACTTAGTTTATCATATTAATATTTTACTAACCATGGTGATGTGAGCTTCAAAGGATGCCTGTTGTGTTGTAATAGAAGACCGATTATTATCGATAAATGTAGTATATAAATTCATAAGATCAACAACAGTCAAATTGAGATCATATGTCTCAGAGATCTTTTCCTGAATGAATTTTGAATTTAGATTGAGTTTATTTTAATTTCGGAATCAATATTTTTTTCTAAATGAGTAAGCTCCTAAGATTAATTATATATCATGCTTATCTGATAAAACAATTGATTAAGGAGATTTGCTTGTGTTCAAGGTAGATTTTGATAAGGGTTTAAATTGGGATTTGGATATTCAAGGTTTGTTTAAGTTGTGGATGAATGTTAGAAAAAAAAACAAAAAAAAAAAAACAAAAACCTATGTGGAAAGTTATGAAAATCAAACCAAAATATTCTATGAATCAAAGGATTGTTTTCTAGGAATCAAAGTGAACAAGTTCAACATATATTGAAATAAGTTGGGGAATTAGAGGGTTATAAATCAACAATCATTAAAGGGATAAGCCCATATTTAACTCACAATAATATGACGGTATTTTCCTCATCCTAAGGATAACAAGAGATGTGGATGTTCTTAAGACATACTTTAATTTTTTATAACTACCAATCCCTCATGACAAACTATCCTAGATATCCTACAAAATTGATATCATTATGATGTATATATCATCACAACTCATCATAGCAGATGGGGATGCTCTTTAAGAGATTTCATGGCTTGTTAGAGTGGTGGCAGAAGTAAAAGGGTTGGTGGAAAGCTAAGGAATATTTTTACTAGTTTAGAGTTTTTGAATAATTTTTCTACTAAGATTTTCTGAATGTGAATTGCTAGTTTTTCATGGATAAAAAAGGAAAAAGCCTCCGGATAGAAGGTTTAAGATATTATCTAATAAATGGATATTATTTTTGATAAATTAGATATGATGTGATTTTTTAAGTGAACTAGTCACAACAAGTGAGCAACAAGATTTAAAATTTCATGGAAGGAGAATTGATGAAGGGTCTATATGATCTTGATAATAAAGGTGATTTTTTAATGTGACATTCTCATTTCTTAAGAACTTTTAAATTTTTCATGAAGATAAGAACTTTAAATTCTTCATAAGGAAATTGGAATTTGTATTATTATAAGTAATGATAAATATGATTATAAGATAATATGAGTTTATTCATTAGAAGAATATAAAGAAGGTGTTTAATTTGATTTGCATTTGCCCTGAGCTTTATCAAATAATCAAATATAAGAAGTTGCATGTAATGTCCTTTCAAATTTCTTAAGAAAATTGGAACTAATGCTTATCTCCTTGATATTTCTAGCAACATGCCCATTCATTTGTTTATTAATATTAAAAATAATGTATCATATGAAGAAGTTATCAAACATCTTTTTGTTTACTTTGACTCTTTAACATGAGACATAACTCCACATTAACAATACCTTAACTATCCACCCTTTTAAAAGTTATTTGTATTATTATCGAGGAAGTGTCCACAAACCTTCTTGATGATCATATACTTTCTGATTGCTTGAAGAATAAGCTAACTATAGTAGATACTTGGCTACCTCACATAGATTTAGAGTCCCTCATACCTCAAATGATTAAGGATTACATAAATTTTAACTCTAAGGAGAAAAATTTAAATAAGCCCAAGGATGTTGATATAGCGCTCATGTAAATCAAGAAACTAAGCTAATGGTCTAAATATATATAAGATCCAAGTCTAAAGCACAAGCAAGAGATTAAAGAAGAGGTTTAAGAAAAAGAGTCCTAGCAAGAACATAAGGAAAATTAAGCCCATTTATGAAATATTTAAAATATAATTTTAATTCTCATATATTTTTACACTTTTTTATTTCACCTTAGGACATGATTTGTCATCTGCTTAAGTCATAACTGGTTTAGAATTAAAAAAATACATTGATTATATTTGGCTAAACTTCTCCTTCCATTAATGGCCAAACCTTACTTTTTTCCTCTTCTTTTTGTTTGAATTAAGTGTAGTCATAATTCATATAATGTCTATATATATGGGTCATTCTACAATAAAACGTTTCAATTTTTAATGGTAAAACTAATTTCGAGAATTTATCTCTCTATATTAGTGCATGGGGGCCTAAGTTGACGTTTCTTTGGTGGAATGATTATTTATCTTGTAAGTACTTGATGACCTTCTCAACGCCTCTTTCAAATCTCTCTCACCTCTTTCTCCACATCCTAAAGACCATCTAAGGCCAGTCATCCACCATTCTACCCCTTAAAACTGTCATAAAATTATTTCAGTATCTCTTAGCCAAACTTAGGTGAATAACTACTACTCTTGTTCTCCACGCTACCAATAGACCTTAAACATGTTCAAACTCACCTAAATACTCCAAATCATAAGTTTACATCTTAACCCAACCCTCCATCATTATTTCCTCGCATTTACACTACTTATAACTCATTTTCATCAGAGATTTTAAATAACCCCATTCTAGACAAGTCTTGATTTTTCTTTCACCAATCACCTCTACACCTTCATACCAAAAACTTCATATCACATCCTTAAACATTGAACCAGACATCCATAAGAATTTTTAGCACCAATCTCACCAAAAAGCAATCCACTTTCATCGCATAGATATTAGGTAACATTTGAACATTAGCCATAATAGTAATATAATGGTGCCAATTTTAAAAAAAATTACCCCTTCAAATGGCATGTGTGATGTCTTTCAAATTATGAGATTTTTTATAGTGATTATATAGATGCCCTTGGTATGAAATAGTTTCTTAATGAGCTTTGAATTTGAATTTAAATGTCATTCATAGCAAATTGGTGTGGATGATTAATGATTGATTGCTTTAAGAATATTAGAATTGTGAGTTATTGTTCGACCTTTTTTTGGATATTATATTTTCTTACAAGTGGCTTAAATTTAGATGGAATTTCATCTGATTATGATCTTATTTTGTAATTTTGTATTGGAATTTTAGAGCAATTTTATAGTAAAAATCCTCTCTAATTGTGATTGGCCATTACCATGACCTTCATTGGGGAAATATTTAAATATTTAATTTCTTATCGATTTGAAATCGAGGACTTCATTGAGTTTTGATTATGATGCATAATAGTCGCTTTCATTATATGATTAAAAATATGATTATTTTGAACGATTTTGATGGACTTTCTTATTTTGAACCTTATTGGCATTGCCTACTTTTCTACATATAATTAGTTCCATGGATTATTATGTATCATTTAAGTCCCCTTAAATATTTCTTACGTAACAAATCTCATTGACTCTATCCATATATGTGAAGTTTGACTATTGGATTTTATGATCATGCATCACATGCAAAATAATCTTGAGAGATTTTTGGTTTCTATCAATCCTCTAATTTCTATGTGTGCTCCCTAAGAATTCTTCTAAAAGATTTTTGTTGACCTTTTCGTTATATGCAAATAAAAATATTTTAAACTTTAATGTATTATTTTAATTATTAAATGCATGAAAATTGAAATTATTAAATTTGAGTATAGAATTTACAATCGTATTGGATTATAATTACTGTGTGGCTAAACATCCATATGTTGTGGTGTTGTTTTATGTCAATAATGATATGACATTAGGCATTGTTGTGAAACCCTAGCCACGATCCGGAAAGAGATAAAAATGAGAATATTAGGGGAATGGGTATCAAGTGTGGACGATTGAATTGAGGCTGTGGAGGGCAAATAAGAAATTTAGTTTTATTCTTTTAATAAAATTTTTGAAATACAAAAAATTATATTTAAAACTTTTTTCATAAAATATTTAAGGCACGCATATTAGACACACATGTCCAATTTATTTTTAATAATTTTTTAATTAAACATGCCTTTAATTAGCATATTTGACGTATGTCAAAGGTATGTCAGATGCGTGTCATATTCGATACATGTCAGACATTACATACCTCTTTGAGGAGAAGTATCAATGCATCATAGTTGAGTGATAGTGGTCAAAGGACTGTAGCTTGATGATGATGGTCAAAAGATCATATTCAGGTGATGGTGGTCGAAGGATCATAGTCAAATGATGATGGTCGAAGGACTGTAGTCATGTAATGTTGACCAAAAGATCTTAGTTGGGCATAGTTGTTATAGGCAGTTGGAGGGCAACAATGGTTAGAGGATAAAAGTTGAGCAACGGTGGTTGGAGGATCGAAGTCAGACGATAGTAGATAGAGGATCATAATAGAGTAATAGTTATCGAAGGATTGTAGCTGGTTGACAATGGTTTGAGGATCATAGCCATGCAATAATGGTTAGAGAACTTCAACCGGGAAATAGTGGTTAGAGACTATAATCGACAACAATTATTAGAGGATTGCACTTAGGTGATGATGGTTGGAGATTATGGTTGAGCGATATTGGTTTGATAGTGATTGTCTAATGGCAGTGGTTAGACAATGATAGTCCAATAATGGGGGTCGAGCAATGGTGGTCAGATGACGGCGATTGGGCAATGGTCTTATAACAACAGTCTGATGGTTTTTTAGAAGTGGTGCTCGGGTAGAGCTCTGAGATTCATTAGTCCTATGAACTCTTTTGAATCTCATGCTAAGGGTACAACACCCCCCACCCCCTTCTCCTCTATCATGCTGAGAATAGGACCATACTTATGATTTTTTAGTAGTGGCACATCCTATAAATATAGGCAAAATTTGGAACACTAAATAAAATGGCCCATAGTGGTACGGTTCCCTCGATCATATACCATCTTTTAGCATGCAAGTGTCTTAAGAAAGTTTAAATTAGTTTATTTTGTGGTCATTAAATTATTTTCTTCGGAATGCTCGATTTGACTATAAACATGCGAGATTTGGAGATCATTCGATACTTGAATTAATGTCCTGAAGTTTTTCAATTATATTTCAAGTACTTGATTTGTGCTTATACGGAGTCGTAATGGATCACTTTTGATTTTGATAAGTTCGTCTTATGGAAACGTTTAGTTTGATTATGAGTTTGCCGAAATACGAGCTTAGATGGTTCTGAATTTAATTATGAAAGTTTCTAATTCAAATATATATCAAAATTTGTCCAACTTATCAATAGCTACACCCAAAATAAAAAGATATATCTACCTCATATGAGCCCTTAATGTGTTCATCTGGTTTTCCTTTTTCTAATACTGTGCCAACTTTTGAAGAGTGGTTCAATGAATCACAACATCAAAAGAAAAAAAGATATACGTTTGAAATTTAATTCTCATTAACTTTATTAACGCAATAATCAGAACCTGTAGTTTCATGTACAGTACCTGCATATCATCACCAAGTACGACATTCAAGAATTTTTTAATTAGGACTGCTACTCCAAAAGCTTTTCAGTACACACATAAAACTAGTTGTCAACAACCAGTAAATAATAAATAAAACATTATCTTATAAAACTATTTTGTATTTGCAGATAACCAAATGAGCTCTAATTAATAGCAGATCATGGTCACTCTTCTGTGCCACAAAATCAAGAGCGTTACAGTTTTATCATTACTGTTTACATATTTCATAAGAAGTTAAGCTGAAACACAGAGTCTTCCAAACAACTTTCTGTATAAATCTAAAGCACTTGCGAGGACAAGTTTAGGCTTAGTTTGGGACAGCTTTATTTTTGCTTTCTAAAACATCTTTCTAGTAAAAAAATTTCTTGAATTAGAAATTTTTGTGCTAGGAAACCGTTTTAGAAAGCAATAAAAAACTGTCCCAAACAAAGCCTTAATCAAAAAGCATAGCTCCTATGGCCTGCAGGGGAGTCGGCTATCTTGAGTGTCTCAGATATAAGTTTCTGAGCCTTCCTGCTGTTTATCTCTTCTCTCATACTGTCAGTCTTGTTCATCTTGTCGTAAGGCTTCTTTGACTTCAGTGGCTTCTTAAGTTTCGATTTGAGATCTCCCACAAGCTTCTGCAGTTGCTTACCACCAATCATCACCATCTTCTATATCTAGCCATAAAGAACTCATAAGATCAGTATTATTATTAAGGAACAAAAAGACTTATTGAATCATACAAACAAAAATTGAATGGAATTATGTATGCAAGAAGAGAAGGTACCTCAGAGCGAGAGAGGAGAAGAACCCACTGAAGATCTGCAGAAGTTCAAGGCAATATATTGAAGGTGATTTGCAGTGGTGTCCCCACTTGTATGTTAACATCAAAAAGTAAATGATGACAATGTTTCTATTAAAGTATTGCACAATATGTCATCCTTACTTTATTTTTGTAAGGGAAAATTTAAGCAACCATTTTAAAAAGGAGAATGCAAATTGACCGTAGAAACAATATTATGTGGTTCTCCTTCTCAATGGAAATTACTTAGCAAGCATGTGTTGTTGGAAGACAAGTAGATAGATTTTAACTTTTTATGCACCATTATTCTATATTAACTAAGGGGTTGTTTGGTTTGATGAAAAATGAAGGTACAGTAAAGAAAATCTTATGTAAAGCAAATGTAGTGAATTGAAAATATTTTTTAATTATTTAATTAAGTATGCTATAAATACAAGAATTTACTTTTTTTTTTTTTTTTGGTTTGGATGAAGGAAATCCAAAATAAAGTAATAGTGCATTTATAATGATAGTTGATCGAAGATGACCAGTGGTGAGTGCTGAGGCAATGTTGGGTGTTGGACTCAACTATCTTTTGGCAGCAACGGCGACAGTAAGTGATAGCAGTGGACACGGTCAATTGTGACAATGGAGCTCGACAATGTTGGCGGCAATGATTGGAGGTGGCAGCTTTCTATGAGTAGCGAGCGGCTGGTGATTGCGGCCAACCGACATCACTTTTATCCGAGCTGTATATTTAGAATTCACTCAAAATATGCTAATTCAAAATACACTCAAAATGAACTAAAGAGTTGTTTTTAAATGCACACCCAAAATGCATTGCATTTGAAATATTTTAAACTCGAGTTTAATTTACTTTACACTAAAAAACAAGCCAATCAAATAGCTCCTAAGTTTAGTTTACTGCCCTTGTATCATTTTGACCGTATTAGAGAAATAAAATCATGTAAGTTTTTCTTAGTTTAATATGAAATCTCATACATCTAATAACATGTCTTACAAAAAAGTACAACTAAGTGTCCACCTATTTTCTATAATGATGCTAAGTAATATAATCTACGGACTACTGTAGCAGTGATTAGAGAACCCATTATGATATAAAATGGATCTGGTAAGTTGACATGCTCATTCTCTATCTCTGTGAATGTTTCTATATTTTCTTACATTAGATTGAGTCCTAAGGGTCAAGTGCATGAAAATTTGTATGTGTGTGAAAAATCCCTTAGAAGTGTTGTGGCACTGTCTTCTAGCATTGCGACACTAGCTTGTCTATTTCTGGGCAGAAAAAATAAGTTTTCTGGGAGCGTTATGGCATCGGGATTTGAGCACTGCAATGTTGTGTTATCTGTATTCTAGTCTTTTTGGAGTCTCTGGGAGATGTATGGCGCTAAACTCTCTATATTCTTAATAGAAAATAGAATTTCTTAGGAGTCCTCTGGTGCTAAGCACTGGTCCTTCGGATGTCGTGACATTATAACCAAAATTTTAATAAATATTAAAATCCACTCAAAATTTTCATCTCTTTTTATTTCTATGATTGGATTCGATGGGCTATAGAGAGAGGAGATTTCTAGCTAGAGAGATGAAGTCTGTTTTGAAGGTTTCCGAGTTGTTTTCCTTCCATCGGGCCAATTGGGAAAGTTATCGGATCGAGGTAGGCTATATTTACCTTATCTCCATTTTTAATAATATGGAGTTTTATTCTATTTTCGAATTTTTAATTGCTCAAAAGTGAGAATACTCTAAGTATTGTTGCTCTTATTATTTTGCACATTTTGATGTATTTCTTATGAATTTGCATCGGTATTTTTAATTGTATGAGGTTTTGAGTATTTTTAATGTATTCGGATTCTGATAAAATTTAATATAGAATGGCAAAAGCTCTAAAATACTATGTGAACATTATCTATGAATAATTTAGGATTGATAACTATTGAAGTGTGTGTGTAAATTTACCTTAAAATTCTGAGTGTTTTATTATAAATATCTAATTTAGTTTATTTTTTTGTTGTGTTTGATTATGTTTATGTATATGAAAAGTGTGATATTTTCTGAATTATTTTGATTGAATCTGTGTGAAGAAATGCTAGAGGCTATTATTGTTGTCGTATGCATCCAAGTGGAGGTATAATGCATGAATTCTAAAAAGGATAAATGGTGCCATGAATTGAAAGTCATAAGGGATTGACACTAATATATCGTGCACTGGGAGTTGTAAGGGCTTGTTTATGATGTGCTACGTACGGGGAGTCGTAAGGTCCATTTATATATCTATCATGTTATCTTTGAAATATTTTGAGATATAAGGGCCTAAAAACTAGTCTCATCTAATGTGAATGGAACTCAATCTAATGTGATTTTTTTTTTATTTTGTTATATGTGAATGTGTGATATTATTATTATTTGATTGAATTCTTATATTGATATTGTTCTAAATCTTTTGTTGCCCTGTTAGAAATTTTTGTATAGATAGTTTCTTTCTTTGCATGTGTAATAGTAGAAGAAATCCATTTATATTATTGTTCTGTTTTTTTTTTTTTTTAATAATTTAGGTAAGCTCGGTATAGTCTACTGAGCTGTAGTTGCTCATATGTACTTTTCTGCATATGTTAATTTCAGGCAAGGGAAATGGAAAATGGTAGTTGCTCATATGTACTTTTGGTGGTTATA